TAAGGTTTATATATATTTTAATATAATTTGTGGCATATGGGTAGGCTTTGGTCCATGTGTCTGAAAGGGTTTAATGATTTAACTTTTAGATAAATCTCTAACCATTGGTGATCTCTTTTCTTTATAAAAAAGTGTTCCTGGTATGAAATTTTTAAAAAATTTTCATTGGTGAACAAAGTACACAAAGGACGAATAAAGTAACCGGTCTTATATTGCTTTCATTTTAGAAGGTCAGACCTTTTTTCTTTTGATTTGGGAAAACATATATAGCTCAGAAAAAGGTTTTGAGTTTGTTTGTGTAAACAGTTGCTCATGAGAAAGGGAAATTGCTTAAAACTGTTCAGAAATAGGTTTTAAAGGAGTTTAGTAATAAATTTCCAAACCAATGTTTGGTTAACACCCTGAAGGGGTATTTTGAATTTAAGAGAGCCTAAAGTTGGCTGTATGAAGGCTCAAGGAAGAAGTTATCAGATTCTTAAGAGCGGGGAATTGAATCCATAGCTAAGTAAACCCTTATGTGTGATAGAGAAGGGAATACTTTCTGGTGTTTGAGTACTGTAAAAGAATGCTTTGAAACCTTTAAATCTGTGTTATAAATAAGTAGTTTGGTTTATTCTGCTTCATTTTCTTTTGCGTAATAAACTTCTGTTTTACGTTTAAAAACCAAATCTGTAACATCATGTTTTTTATGTTTCAGTGAACATCTACCTTGATAAAACCAAAAACAAAATGATCTATCAAGCAAGATTTCAGTCTGGGATCTGACTTGTCATAAAACACGTGGTGGGAACGTTTGCCCTGAATCACAATGGTATCCAGGAACTCTCACATGCTACAGCTTTGACGTACCACCTGCACTGCCATCATTAATAAGATTTAATAACTTCATTATATTACTCATTTATACTTTTATATATTTGATTAAGTTTACTACCAATTTGTATATTTGGTTGAAAGTTAATAGAAAAGACTGTTTCACTTACCAGCGACTCAACAAACAGCTAGCTATTTTCTTTGTGGTAGAATAAGCATCAGTTCCAACCAGCTCCAATGAATTTTGCTGTTTTTTTGTTTTCTTTTCAGTTCTAGTTCAGCGGCATCACCCAATTTTCAGTGTAGGATTATTTCTAATTGATGTTTTAGCCATGGAATTCATATGAATAGTCAAGCAAAACATTTTTGATACCGTTCAACAAATTTTCAGGATATGAATCTTTTGCTTGGTTCCACAATAACTTTTACTTGGGATCAAGTATTCTTTCAATTATTCCACTTCCATCCTACTTTTACACCTGGAGCATAGCTGGTGGAATCCTAAACTCATCCAGAAATCCCACAAGTTATGCCACCTACATGAGCAGCAGTAGGGAAATCTGCAGGTGTACACATAGGACACCAATTGTTTGTCAGGTTTATTGCTTTTTATTCAAATGTTAATTTCTTCAGAGATTAACAGCTGTTTCAATGGGGTTCTACATGTGAGGGAGTAACAGCAGTGCATGTTTGGGACAGAGAAATATTTGATCAGAACAACCATATGCAATTATCAATACAACAAGAAGAGATTCACAAGAAGTGATTTGAGACTGCTTTGTAATGAGGATAGACTGACATTCTTCCTCATTAAACTCTGGAAGACCAGTGGTGCTGATCAAATCTTTAAGTCTAAATTACCACCAGCACAAGCATATTTAAATAAGATGGCTGAGTTGTTTAGTGAACTGTGTGAAGTGAGATATAGAAACTAAATGGTTCCAGTAGTGGGCTAAGCTAGCTAATTTGAACTGGTAGGGTTTTATAAATGATGTCAGTGACCCTGGAGAGTTAGGAAATCGGTGTGTTTCCCTCTTTTAATTACTTCCTTCCAGCAGGAAATAATGAAGAGTCTTGTCTGGGCATTGAGTGGGAATAAGCATGAGATCCACTTGTGATATCTTGTCTGCTAAAATAACTTGGTGACATTCACTGTTTCACAACATAAAGCATGGGGACTTGGTTGAAGTACCAAAGGGTGGTGCCCCAGCATGAGTCAGCACCTTGAGACAAAGACATGTAAAAAAGACTCAAATGCCACAGATCTTCTCTTGGTCTCTCAGCAGAATCTCAGGAGAAACCGCTTCAACAGCTGTTTATGTTATTTCACTGATGATTCCACTGGCCTCTCAAAGTAATGGAAGAAGACTGGAACAACTCAGTCTAATTTTGGGGCCAAAAGCTTTGTTTGCTCAGATATATAAATTGAAGTTTAATATATTACATATTGATTCCTCTGAACTATCAGTGTTGTTGTGTTTTGCATGAAAAGTTGAAACTAGTAAATGATGGAAAGGAGATCAGAGCATTATAGGAAGTCTGAACATAACAGAACTTTATTTGAAAAATTTGCAAGCTCACTTTGATAAAACATCACAGTTAAAAATAGTATCCAATTGAAGGTAACGTACAGCATGCCAGAATAAGAGAGATTATTTTTAAGTGTCCCCTGTAACACAGTTATCTTTTTCAACAATGTATCATCAACATTTAAATGTAGTTTACAAACACTGTATTACAAATATAACAAACTCTTTCCATGAACTGAGAAATTTTGGACTTACTTGTACATTATACATATTAAAATGTATGGCTCTGTGTTCATTGGGAACAATTTGATTTATTAATAATGACAATTTTGTTCAATGACAGTATAAAAGGTATTCAATGCCATTTTTCCATCTCCTACAAACCATGAATTTGAAGCATTTGAGGTTTTTTTGTTGAAACCTTTATTGTCAGCACCAATACTGAAAGGTAATATATAGTCACTGGTGATATTAAAGCAGAAGTATTCTAATGTTGTTGTATCAATTACCGTATATTAAATAAACTTATTAAACATGTTCTCTATCACTTTAAAAAAAAACTCCATAGGTGTAAACTCCAGCAAGGATTGCTTTATACATGAAAGTGGTATTTACTGATTTAAGTAGCTGGTCTGTTATTTGACTTTTATACTCATCACATTTCCTGATGTAGCTAAAAAGTAAGAATTGTCTCATGTCCCTCAAACCATTAAAAATTATGCTTCCAGTTGCCAAATTCCACAACAAATGTCAAGGCACAAATTCTGAGTTACAGAAATAACTTTCTGTTCTAGATGATGAAACAGCAGAAAACTAACTTACAAAACCTTTTTTTAAAAGAATCACACCCTTTCTAAAAACAAAAACATTAAAAATGAACATTCCACAAAAATAGATGCTACCGTTCAACTGGTCCATTCTTTTTATTTATTCCAACCACTTATTTTGAAAAAGTATAAAATCAATCCTATCCATTAAGCTTCTCATACCTCAGCTCTTTCATGAAATCCTACTTAGCTCTGGATATTTTAAACAAAAATGATAATAATGTTGGTTGTGTTATACATCATAAGCTATTAACAAACAAAAACTGAGGCTAGCTGAAGGAGAGGTTGTGTAGTTGATTTGTGATATAGAAAACCACTAAAATATACCAGAGTTTTATATGCACCATATTGCATTCCTGCTCTACGAGTTCTGTTTTAAACTAATGTTCCATCTTGGTAAGATAATTTTCAGTTTATGATACCATTAGTTTTAATAATAAACATGCTCTAACCCATATAGACATTGTGCATAATACTTATACAATACATAATAAAACACCATGTACATCAGAAAACCTTTTTTAAGGTAAAGTACATCATTTTGGATCAGATTGTGCAAACATAAATAACAAACATAAATTGCAATGTACTCATAATTACACTAAAAACATAGTATACAAATAGCAAAGCTCTACAGCTTGATAACACAAATCAAAAAGTAACCACTACAAAAAAGCAAACAACATGCTATTGTAGCATGTTTCCACACCTTCAAAACAAAAATTAAGTTCCTAAAACAAAATGCACTTCTTATTAAATCACATCTTATTTGGCGCACCTATTATTTATGAAAATTATGCACTTTGTTCCTTGAGGAGTAAACTTTCAATACCTTAGGAATTCATCATGAAAAGGTTATGAAAACAATGATAAAGCTTCATGCAACAATAGGAAATAGCAGAGGTTCAGAATTTATGAGTACTCTGGTATATACACAGAGTCTCTGCAATATTGCTTTCTTCTATAGATATGAATTGGAGGTGTAAGGAGGATACAAGTTGCTGTTCTACTGAAAATTATTTGTATCACACAGATAATATGTGATTAAGTAAAGTTCATTCTTGCATTATCCTGTCAGGTTGGTCTATTAGACAATCAATGCATTCAACAGCATTTTGCTGCTTTTTTTGGTTTGTGCCATAATTCACAGTATGTTTGAAGTCAGGATTTTAAATTGTGTTTGTGTGTGTGGGAAAGAATGGCTTGCATATATATGGTAAAAGAGGTTGCAAGATCTTTTGCATTATTCTGCTAACATGGCTGTTCTTTGTTCTCTGCATGTTGGAGAGCTAATACTAGAAGGAGATGATGCTCTGTGTAAAGCTGGCCCATAGTCAACATGGAGAGCCAATTTTCACATCTAATAGCAAATTTCTGTATCCTTGCTCATATGATCATATGTAGCAGCTAACTGCAAATAGATTTGACCTTAAAGTATGAGCTGTGGAATAATCAATTATATTTGCAGAGGTATTTCACCACCTAAACATATCCAAAGATGAAGGTAATATAGGTAATTTAAAAACCTATAGAAATTGTATCTGATTTCAATACATACTCTTAAGTGATTAACACATTGTGCTCTGTTTGCAGATTATTTCCTGCCTTGTTCTAAGCTCTGGGTAACATCCACATATTAACACTATTAAAGTGCATAAATCCATTTTATACTTTAAACCTGTTATCTCACAGGTAGACAACTACCTTTGCCTAACTGTATTTTTAAATTATTTATATTGTAAGATTGTAATTTCATCTGAATTGCATGTGAAATGTCTCCACATCTACTGTACAAATGCAACTTGCAAACATATCATCTACTACTACACAATTTAATGACTTCACCATATCTTATTGACAAGCAACTGTGACTAAAAATTCTTTTAATTCAACAATATCTTAGAATATCTTCATATACCCTGTTAATCTTGCTGATAAATTATCTACAGTTTAATGTGCCACTCATTACGAGGAGAATAATTTTACTATTCATTAGAAAAGAATAGCATCACTTAACAGTTGCCCTTTTCAATCCACAATGTCTATTCCAAATTATCTTCAGAATTTTTAAACATCAGAATGGAGTTGTAAATCTTCAGGGCTGGGCCTAATTTGATGCTCATGATCTTAACTATGTCCACCTGTGTCAGCAAAAGAAATGCTTCTCCATCAATCTGCTGTAAAACAAAACAAATGGCCCTGGTGAAACAATTTATGTAATTTAATTAAACCTAAAATAAAGATAAATTCATTGGCTAACTTGATCATACTTAAAACATTATTTGTAAATATATCTTGAAAAGCCACCACTAATAGCTACAAATAAATTATTTATAGAGGGACATTTTTGGTCCCCTCATATGTGATCCAAGTTTGTACTATTGAAATCCAGCTGAAGGGCAATTTCCCTGACTAATAAAAGTCTGGAAGAATCAGCAGCAGATACTCTCAGAGCAGTGATGTTCAAAGACTTGTGGATTGTTAGTTGCATGGTAAGTCAGTTTCTGAACACTGTGCTTGTATCACTGGATTGAAGCAAATAAATAATGTTTGCTAACTGCATATGTGGAAAAATGTGATGCAAGAACGTTAGCATTATTCTGCTGGCATAGCTACTCCTTGTTTACGTGTATTGGAATTCTATTACTAGAAGGAGGACGTGCTCTGTGTAATGTTTACCTACTATCAATAGGGAGGATGAATTTACTCATTAATGGCACATTTCTGAAATGTTGGTTATGATCACATGTAATAGTAAAATGTGCAAAAATTATCTAAATATGCAAATTATTGGAATCAATAATCGACCATATTTACAAAGGCATTTCATCGCTTAAACATATCTGAAGTTAAAGGTGTGCTTATACCTGGATTTGAAAGCCTATATGAAATTGTAGCTTTTTTCAAAATATATGTTCTTCAAAGTGGTTACTTATTGTGCTTTATTTGCAGATTATCTCCTGCCATGCTCTAAGCTCTCTATAAGCTCTTCCAGAGTTTTAGTTTGGTTGGGGAAATTTCCCTCAATAGGATTTCAATAATACAAACCTGTGTCTCTAGCATACATGCATCCCACGATTTTCCAAGGTCAGCCAATTTAAGTGTGATTGTGAACCTCCTATGCAGATATGACCAGGACTTGCAAACCAGAATATCAAGTGCAGGAATTCTTAAAGGGCTCCTGATGCCATCTAAAATTGAACATTATACAATGTGGAACTTGAAAATCTTCCCTGTTGCAATGCAAAAATGATGTTACAGGATAGTAGAGACAACAAGGTGCAGAGCTGGATGAACACAGCAGGCCAAGCAGCAAGTACATTTTTTTAAGACATTGCTTGTCAAGAATCAACAAGGAAGCTGTCTTGGAGCTGAAGCCACTCCTAAAATCTGCCCACAGTGAAGGTGACAGTATGAGTGATGATTATTATAGATCTCCAGAACTTTTAGGAACAAACCTGCATAAGTTTAGAAATGTAAGGAATAACTCCAAGATATAAAGACCTAGCATTTGCCTGTGCCAAGTCAGCATGCCACAAAAACTTTCAGTGCAATTTCATTGATGTAGCATGTAAAACACACTGGAAACTTTCAGGGCTTTTACAAATTCACAAGCATTGTTGTAGGACAGACTTGGCAAACGATACAGAGCTATGCAATTCCTGTTGCACAGAAATCCTGCAAATTATGTTCGCAGAGTGTGTGTCCAACAGAATGCATTTCATTAACTTGCGCAAGTTGGATTGGAGGGTGAACACTAGCTTGTCACTGTGTGCCATTTCTAAAATTCCATCTTGCTTATGATGGTAGCATATAACAGACATAAGCAATGAAGTTCCAAGGAAAGGTGTTACAATTTCTGGTCTTTACCTCTGTGCTCACAGACTTGGAAAAATCTTGCTATCATTGGAGTTAAAGGCACTGAGTTCATCGTATTACACAGGCATTTGCTTTGGGATGTTGTTGAATGCCTCCAGATCTTCCCTTCATTCTTCACTTGGCTCTCACAAGTAATGCAGAAAAGAACCATCTGCAAGTCACCTAAGTGACTATTTATGATGACTTTCATGTTAGATTTGAGAGATATTTGCAATAGGTGCGCACCCTTTCTCAGAAAAGTGCTCATAAGTCAATTCACATGACTATTTACATAAGGAACAGAAGCAGGTTATTCGGCCCAACCTGTCTGCTCTGCCATTCAGAGAGATCATGACTGATCTGATAATCCTGAATTCCACTTTCCTGCCCCTTCCCCATAATACTCAATTTCTTTACTGATTAAAATCTTTTTCCATCAGCCTTGATTATACTTAGTGACCCAGCCTCAACAGTCTTCTGCGATAAAGAATTCCATAGATTCTCTACCCTTTTAGAAGAAATTCTCCTCATTCAATTTAAGAAGTTTACAGACTACAAAAAGAATTCAGTTAGGTGCTTTGTTTCCTTATTCAATTTATTGCTGGGTAATTGAGCACATATACTAAAATTATTCTTAATTGGGGTTTTTATGATCATGAATACAAAAGTCAATGAACTTTACAAACTCAACCATTTCAACAAGAAAGGCAAATATATAGCTGAAATCCAATGATCTTTCAAAAGTCTACATTTTATATTATGCACATTAAACAGTTAGCCATCACATTATCATGAGAATGCACTGAATTACTTTGAGCAATACGTTATTATTATTTACAAGTAATTAAGGTAAGTGGAAAACAGGCTGTGGTGATTTTTGTTTCGTCTGCAGTTTTTATTTACTTTTGTAAAGGCAGTGACTCCATGGAAGGGTGCAGTTACAGTAGTTGTGCGTGTTCTTCAGTATGTTGCTTAACTGGGGATCATTTCATATGTGCACCCTTCTAGTCAGAAATGACACTTACTTGATCCCTGAGGCCATTCAGCAACTATCTCACAACAGGGAATGGTAACAAGGCTAATGTCCTTTCATTGTGCTGAAACTAACTCTAACACTTCTACTATGGTCTGGATTATGTTCACTAAGGACCATGGGTTGAACTTGGAGCTGTTCCTAATCTGTATGGCTACTTAAACACAGTGAAGTAATTTTGCCTTGTAGACTACATCACAACATGGCTACAACAAATAGGCACAGATGCAAGCCTGATAACTCAGCGTGACTCATCTTCCGTTCTGTCCAAGAAAATAAAAGCTTTCCAAGTGATTCACTGGAATTAACTATTAACACTACCCTTTGTGCAACAACTTTGCAGAATATATTCACCATCCATTAGAGAACTCTAATAGGAGTAAATCTGGAGTGCCCAATCACTGGTAGACAATCTGCCTGATGCCAGCCCGCTGTATAAAGGGGGAGGTGAAATTAATTGGACACTGAGGGTGCCTTTAGTATTTTTAATGGGATACAGAATGATTGTTACTTGGATATCATGTTCTAGTGAATACAATATTAGTTATCTTAACATATAGGCATGAGCCACAACATAGTTACATTTTGGAAGAAGAAGAAAATTGTTTTAAAATGTAAAATTTTGGGCATAAAACAATCTTAACTTCTGGTATTTGGAAAGTGTACTTCAGCTTGCCAATTTCCTAATCCATTGCCATGTCCAGTGCCATAAACCATAATGGACTTAAACCACATATGTACTGGTTTACTGGCATAATTTAATTCCAATGATCTGATTGCACAAGGCATTCGTATGTTAATACACTTCCTCCTACTCATTTCAGTTCTGCCTCACTGCTTTCTTTCCTAAAGCTTCCATATTTTCTTACTAAGTGAGTGCATTAAACCACTGTTAATAAATTCTGAATAATTTGCATACAACTATGACACGTGCATCACAACAACTCAAAGTTAACTGACTCAGAAAGTCTATCTTGGAATATAGACATCCAAGTCCAAACTTGTGCTTAAGAAGCAGACTGTTGTTGTCCCAACCGGATATAAGCCAGGTAACTGAAGGTCACTTTGACAAAGTATCAAATGCTGCCATGATTTTCTGATACTCACTTGTGGGATTCAATAATTGCTGCATGTGGTGATTTGGAAAATCTATCTTTCCATTTCTTAATTAAATATCAGAGATTTTCTGCATTATGTAATCATACATTTATATTTTTGAGCAGCTGAGAACTTTTTAAATTCCTTTACGTTTAGATTTCCAAGTGGTGTTTCCACCGGTTTAAGCTTCTTAGCACTGTAGTGAATGTGATGTGATTTGATTACAAATTGCAAACAATGCTTAAAATGAAGGTGCAATTAGAAAAACAGTTACATGTTAAAAAGATTTTATTTTACTTCCTGATCTTTCAGGAGTCAGCAAGGGTCCCAGAGGAATGGAAAATGGCTAATGTATCACCCCTGTTTAAGAAGGGAGGGAGGCTGAAGACAGAAAACTATAGGCTGGTTGGCCTGACCTCCATTGTTGGTAAGATTTGTATTCCCATTATACTTGGAAGTGCAAGGTAAATTTGGCTAAGTCAGCATGGCTTTATCAAGGAGAGGTCATGCCTGACAAATCTGTTAGAATTCTTTGATAAGGTAAACAGCTAGCTAGACAAAGGACAGCCAGTGGACGTGATCTATTTGGATTTCCAGAAGGCCTTTGACAAGGTGCCGCACAGGAGGCTATTAAATAAGATAACAGCCCATGGTGTTAGGGGTATGGATAGAGGATTGGCTGACTGGAAGAAGACAGTAGAGATAAAGGGGTCTTTTCAGTGACTAGTTGAGTTCTGCAGGGCTTTGTGTTGGGACAATAATTATTCATATTATACGATAATGATCTGGATGAAGGAACTGAGGGCAGTGTTGCTAAGTTTGCAGATGACACAAAGATAGATAGAGGGACAGGTAGCATTGAGGAAGCAGGGAGAATGCAGAAGGTCTTGCACAGGTTAGGACAGTGGGCAAAGAGGCAGCAGGTAGAATATAACGTGGGAAAATTTGAGATTATGCACTTTGGTAGGAAAGTTACAGGTGTAGACTATTTTCAAAACAGAAAAAGGGTTTGGAAATCTCAAACACAAAGGGACTTGGGATTCATCATAGAATCCCTACAGTAGGAAACAGGCCCTTCAGCCCAACAAATCCACACCGACCCTCAGAGCATCCCATCCACACCCATCCCCCTTTAATCTACACATCCCTGAACACTATGGGCAATTTAGCATGGCCATTCCACCTAACCTGCACATCTTTGGGCTGTGGGACGAAACCGGAGCACCCGGTAGAAACCCACGGAGACATGGGGAGAATGTGTAAACTCTACACAGACAGTCGCCCGAGGGTGGAATAAAACCCGGGTCCCTGGCGCTGTGAGGCAGCAGTGCTAATGACTGAGCCACCATGCTGCCCTAGTACAAGATTCTCTTAAGTTTAACATGTAGGTTCAGCTGTCAGTTGGGAAGGCAAATACAATGTTAGCATTCATTTCAAAAGGTCTAGAATATAACAGCAGAGATGTACTGCTGAAGCTGTGTAAGGCTGTGGTCAAACCATATTTGGAATATTGTGAGCAGTTTTGGGCCTCGTGTCTAAGAAAGGATGTGATGGCCTTGGAGGGATGCCAGAGGAGGTTTACAAAAATGATTCCGGGATGAAGGGCTTTTCCTAAGAGGAGCAGTTGAGGACTCTGGGTCGGTACTTGATGGAATTTAGAAGGATGTGGGGGGACCTGACTGAATATATAGAATACTGAGATAGACGGAACATGGAGAAGACGTTTCCACTTGTGGGGGAGACTAGGACACAAGAGCACAGCCTCAGAATGATGGGATGACTCTTCAGAACTGAGATGAAGAGGAAATCTTCAGCCAGAGGTGGTTAATCTGTGGATCACATTATCAATAGGGCTGTGGAGGCCAGATCATAGAGTGTACGTAAGATATAGATAGATAGTTTCTTGATTTGTAAGGGGATGAAGAGTTATAGGAAGAAGGCCGAAGATTGAATGGCAGAGCAGACTTGACGAGCTGAATGGCTTAATTCTGCTCTTATGTCTTGTGGTTATAAGGTTTACACAGTTTTTATAATTAATTCCTTACATGAAAAAGTCAAATGAAAAGGTATCATTCTGGCCTATGCTGAAACTTTACTTCAGAATGTTACAATACCTGTGCCTGCTCAATGCAACATATTCTGATCCAATAACTGTCAGGCAATTTATATTCAGTGACATTCCAAGAGATAGGGTTTACTTTGTTTCTTACCTCTTCCTTAAAGGTCTTTGCCTGTTCTTTGCAACCAGGAAGAGTCTGGACAAAGTTTGCAACCTGAAATAGCAAGAAAGAACCGATTTTGAGAGACATGAAAGAGGTTGGTTTTATATAGCACCCTTTTTCCTTCAATGTACCACAGAAGACTTTAGAGTCAATTAAGTACATTTAAAGTGTAGTCACTGTTGCAATATGGGAAATGTGGCAGCCAATTTTGATGCAGCAAAGTCCCATATTGACAAAGGCCATGTAATCTGTTATTATTTCTGAGCACTGGGAGGAAAAAGAAAGTGCTTCTCTTCTTCAAAGTCATGCTAAAGGATCATTTAAACCCAACAGTGAAGGTAGGAAGAGCCTTGATTTAATACCTCATCCAAAAGATATAAGCTATGTCAATGCAGTATTTTCTCACAGGCATATCACCCTAAATTTTGTGCTCAAGCATTTAAAATGGAACTTACTAACAACCTTCTGGTTCAAGGGCAAAGCTGACACCAAAGAACAACAGCAAATACCTCTCAGGAGGGCAGGATCTCGCGATTTTTCTCAGCCTATGTCCACCCTGGTGCCAGAAAGCCAGCTTGGCAATGCGTTCAGTTAAAACAGATATGAACTCAAGTACTGTATTACCCCTCGAGTTCCAGTTGTTCATAGACATTGTGTTGAACATGGCATCAGCCTCCTTCTTAATGCAGTTGTCAACTGTAGGTTGATTAATGTTGCTGACATCCCCTACTACAGTCTGGAAAAAGCCAAAGGCAAATAAGTTTAGCGTTGTAGCGATCTTGAGCTGAATTTTGCTGAGCTTTGGGATCCTCACGTTGGGGGAGAAAAGTAAGTTCCAAGGCCACCTTTGATATCAGCAGGACCAAATGTGTCATTTTACTGTAGCAGTCTCCTAAGTGCCTACTTAATTGCTCACTGTTCAATTAAAGACAGCAGGCAGGCTCCTGATGCTGCTGACCCCATTTAGTGCTATCCAAATTTAAGGCAGGGACACTAGCTCAATGACATCTCACAGATGGAAACGTGCTGGTGGCTCTAAGAACTGGCCCTTAGTTGGGCCTTTAATTATGCAAAATAGCTGCAGTCATGTTGTGGTCAGCCAATCCACCTTGTCGTCAATAGGTGGGAAGGCATCACTGGGGCAGGGCTGTGTCAAGGACCCATCCCAACGCACCCTCCTGCTATCTAACTGGAGCCATTGATTCTCAATCTACCAGCTGGTGGCTGGGAAATTCTACAAACTGAGATGATAGTACGGAATAATAGAAATAGAAGCATTGCAAGTGCTTCTCTGGCTTTGACAGACTAGATAAGAATGGAACCAACTGCAGTTCCACCCAGTTTTTGAAAAGAACTCAGCACCAGCAGCTGATTTTATCAAAACAGCAAATAAATTGCTCTTCTATATCTTTAAACCACTTTGGCAGGAGTGAATGTGAATCAATTTTATCTGTGTGAAAAAATTTGAGTTTTATTTATTGTTTGTCTTAGACCAGATTAAGTACAATTAAAAAAAAAACATCCATTTAAAGCTCAAGAAAACTTGGCTGTGCGACTTTTGTACTCACTCCTTAGCAAAAAACCTGTTGTGGTCAAATGAGGAGTGGGTAAAGAGGGAAACCATTAAATCCCTCCTTGTCTGGTCATAACACAAGCTGACTAAAGGTATTTACCTTCCTTAAAAGCAAGGTTAGAATTCTGACCTGCCAAGGGTGATTCATGTTAGTTCAAAAATGTTAACTATTATAATACACTAGAAACTTCTGCCTGTATCTTTTCAATTCACATATGAATGACATAAATGTAACTTCTTTTATTACCTGATACCAGTAGCTCCCTATAATTATAGGATCTGCTTCACAAAGTCAGAGTGTTTTAGTCAGGCCTTGATGTCAACTTCATTTGAAGGGTGAGCTAGAATTTTTGCCATTTTCAAGCCAAGAAAGAAAGTTCTGTAAAAGGCAAAGAACGAGCATGCCCCATGTTGCAATATTCTCTGGCAATGTTCTACCAGTCTCTCACTTTCTTTATGGCAGATCAGCAGAATCCAAGGAATTCCAGTCCAAAAATCTTTTCAGTTTTTAAAAACTAAAGCATCTGGTTGTTTACTGATAGCAGTTTGGCATTTGATGTTAGTAGGTTGTTCACTCAAGATTTAACCTTCAGCTGTGAATGTTTGAATCAACAACAGCAACAACTTAAATTTATATGGTACCTTTAATGTAATGAAATGTCCCAACACACTTTGCATAAGCATTATAAGCCACAGAAGATGATATTGGGTCAGATTACTGCAAGGTTGCTCAAGTAGGTGTCTTAAAGGAGCAACAGGTGTTGATGCATGGGACGGTCTTCCAGAGCTTGGAGCAAAGGCAACTGAAGGCAAAACCACCAATCATTGAGTAATTCAAACTGCAGATATTCCAAAGCCCAGAATTGGATGAAAGCAGATATTTCAAGAGTGTTCTTGGACCTGAGGAGATAACAGAGATAGAAGAGAGTGCCCTGGAGAGATTTCTAAACAAGAATGTGGATTTTAAAATAAAGACATATTTTGACCAGGACCCAGTAATACAGGTCAACAAATCCCAGAGGTGACAGGGGATTTGGACTTGCTGAGAGTTAAAACACAGGCAGCAGTTTTGGATGACCTCAAGTTTACATACAGTAGTTTATGGAAGACTAACCAGGAGTGGATTAGAGTAGTTGTGTCTAGAGTTAATAAAAGCATAACGGAGAGTTTTACCAGCAGCTGAGCTAAGACAGGATGAAGTTGGGTAATGTTATGAAGGGGGAAACGAATGGTTTTATTGATGGCATGAGTGTGAGGTCAGATATTTATCTGGGATCAACTGTGATGTCAAAATTGTGAAATGTAATCAGTTCCCAGGGACAGCAATGTTGCTGGTGGCTAGGAAATGAAATTTGGAATAGGTACTGAAAATAGATTTCATTTTCTTGATATTTAGTTGGAGGAAATGGCTATTCATCAGATACTAGATGCCAGATAAGCAGCCTGATAATTTAACAAGTGGAGAAGTAAAGCTGAGCACCATCACTTACAGTACATATGAAAATTAATGTCTGCCTTTGGATAATACCACTGAGGGCAAAATGTAGATTAGATTCCTGTGGGAAGCGCAGTAAACAGCACTGGGAAAGAAGTTATACTCTGGATACAATTAGATAGTCAAGAATGGAACCAGGTGAGTGGTGCCCCACCCAGTGAATGATGGTGGAGAGGTGTTTGAGCGGTGAGTTGGACTGAAGAATCTGTTTCCGTGCTGTATGACTCTGTTCATCTTACCTCTCTCACCTTAAACCCATGACCTCTAGTTTTGGACTCCCCCACCCTAGGAAAAAGACCTTGGCTATTCACCCTATCCATGCCCCTCATGTTTTTGTAAACCACTAGAAGGTCACCCCTCAGCATCTGATGCTCCAGGAAAACAAAATGCTCCAGCTATTCAGCCTTTCCCTCTAATTCAAACCCTCCAGTCCCAGCAACATCCTTGTAAATCTTTCCTGCACCCTCTCAAGTTTAACAACATCCTTCTTATAGAAAGGTGACCAGAATTATATGCATTATTCTAAAAGTGGGCTCACCAACGCCCTGTGCAGACGGAACCTGATGTCCCAACAGTGCATACTCAAATGTTCTGACTAATGAAGGCAAGCATGACAAATGCCTTCTTCATCATCCTGTCTCCCTGCAACACCACTTTAATTATCATCCCATCAATTTACACTCAATCATCAGCGATTGAAGATTTTGTCAACATTTTACACAGCAATAAGGAACTCCCTGATGCTTGATTACTCGGTCACTCGGCCCGTGCCTTATTACCACCCTAGGCTAAGAATGGACAAAATAGCTTAATTCAAGAGGTGAGTTGAGAATAAAATCAGGATGTTCCAGCAAAATTGGAGTCAATCAGAATCAGAGATAATTCTCCACTCCTTGGAGTAATACCTACCACAAAGGAAGATGGTCTGCTTGGGTAATGATCTCAATCCCAGGATATCTCTGTAGGAATTCCTCAGGACAGTGTCCTGGGCCCAAACCTCATCAGCTATTTCATCAATGACTTCCCCCCCACCATCATAAGGTCAGACGTAAGATGAGAGTATTCCTCAGATACTAAAGCAATCTATGTTCATATGCAGTGACACCTGGACAACTTTCAAACTATGGCTGGAAAATGGCAAATAACATTTGCAAGTGGCAAGTGAAGAAATATCTGCAGTAACAAAGAATCTAATAATCTTTCTTTAACATTCAACAGCACTAACATTGCTGAATTCCCTGCATCAGCATCCTAGTGTTACCAATGACCAGAAATTTAATTTGACCAGTCATATAAAAATTGTAGCCGAAGATAGCATTGGAAAATGTGACCCTCACATCCATGAACTAATATTAATTGAAAACTTCCAGGTAGCAGTGTGAGAAGCCTTGATATTGTCACCATCCCCCGTTCCTCAGGTTCATCCTTGGAATATGTCTGCTCTGCACCTTGTCCCTACTGTAGCTTCAATCCTCACAGTACATCGCTGTGTGACCTTCCTGGATATCCTGGTTGGTATGTGCTGAATGGCACCTCTGATCTGTCCAGGAATGTGAAACATACCTTACGTATACTGAACACTTGGTCAATGACACATCTTTCACCTGGCAGTCTAGGAAGCCATAGATTGCTGTCACCAATGGAAGCAACTTTATTACCCTCAAGGAAGGAAGCTTGGCTCTGACCGTAAATTCTGTTTTATGGGTGGCCCCCACCATGAAGGCTTAGTCAACAATAGACTGTAACTGCCAGTGGTAATCATATCGCTTTTCATCTGAGATCCAATCTAAGGCAAGTACAAAGAGACCTTGGGATGCTGGTTTATAGTTCCTTGAAAGCAGAGTCGCAGGTAGATGGTTAGTGAAGAAAGTTTTTTGTTCAAGCACTTTTATTGGACAGTGCATTGAGTATAGGCGTTGGGAGGTCATGTTGCGGTTGTACAGGACATTGGTTAGGACACTTCTGGATAACTGAGTTCAATTC